GCGCCATCTTGGTAAAAAGGCTCCTTTGCTTATGTTAAATGTGTTTAATCACAGATTTTTCTAGTGATCTGTTTTTTTTTTTTTTTGCGGAACCAAGGATTGAACTCAGACCCTTGCACTTGCCAGGCAAGCACTTATTCTACTGAGCCATCTCCCCAGCCCTAATGATCTGTCTTAACAGCCTTGCAAAAGTCTCCAGATTTTTTATTTTTTGGTGGAACCAGGGATTGAACTCAGGCCCCTGCACTTGCCAGAGAAGCACTTATTCCACTGAGCCATCTCCCTGGCCCCTCACTCCAGATTTTTTAGACCTTTATTGTTGTTGTAAGCTCTGCAATGACATTGATGCTTTGTTTTGTTTTCCCTTAACATTAGGGTTTTTTATGCTTCCTTGTGTGGTAAGCACACTACGGTCAAAGAACATGCATTCCTTTGTTTTGATGCTCTCTAGGAATACTTTTAATATACTGTAGAAAATAATTTAAACAAAAATCTGGCTGTTTGTCTTCAGATACAGTTATGAACTCTTAGCTTATTGTTGGCTTTGTGGATAATTCTTAGGTATGCTCTTATGGTCTATTTAGGCAGTAATGACCTGAACTGGGAAACTGGAGTAGTGTATCCTCTCTGTCAATAGCTAGGTAGGTGACCACATACGAAGTCTGGTCTCTCGGCAGTATGCTGAGTCACCGAGTGTAGCACTCTGTAGATCAGTGCTGGCCAACCTTGAATGTCTGTAGCAGCGAGCTTATCATTGTATGACTGAAAAGCTCTAAAAGCTTCACCATCACTGGTATTGGTTGAGAGGAGAATATTGAGAAGTGGATCATTTTATTCCTTATGAGATCGTTACACTATATTTTACAGAATTCTATCTGTTCATTGATTTAGCCACATTACTCAACCTAAAGTAACATTCTTTGTAAAGCAAGTTAGTAATTCATGTCATGAACTTCTGTTGTAGTCTCCTGTGCATAGTGACCTGGGGATGCATATGCTGTGGCTGTGAAGAGATCCTGATATTGCAGTCTCTTCAGGCTGCTGTTGCAAAATACCGTAACTTGGTAGTTTATAAGTCACAGGAGCCAATTTCTAAATTTTGAACGCTGCGGAGTGCAAGATGAAGATAATCATAGATTCCATGACTGATGAGAGCCAGCTTTCTTTCCCTATTAGTGAGAATTACAATTGTTGCCTTAAAGAACTATAAAAACAATTCTTTTGGGTGGTGCTTGGCACATTGTAGGCCAGTGCTCCACCCCTGAGCTACATCCCAGCCCAATAGTAGTTCTTATGAAGAAATTATATAGTGGCATTTTATTATACTTAAACTGAGCGATTCCAGCATCCAAAGTGTATTGTTTTTTTTTTTTTTTTTAAGGTATTCAGTACTAGGTCTACAGGGTCTCACTGTGCAGATCAGACTTGTAGTGATCCTCCTGTTTTTCAGCCTTCCAACTGCTGGCATTATAGGTGCATGCCACCATGCGCAGTCTTATTTGCTGGCTCAGTGAGCCTTGGGGGTAGTGCCAACACCAAAGTGTGTTTGTTTTTTAATCTGACTATTCACTGTGGTAGATGAAACATTTGGCTTCTGTAGACAATAATGATTCTTCTGTTAGCTATAGCATAA